TGTTGCTAAATTGAAGAGGGGTCAGTGAAGAGCCACGAGAAATGATTAAAGGATTAGAAAACATGCCGTTTTAGAATGATAGTCAAAGATCTATTTAGCATAACAAATAGACGGTTAAGGGGTAACTTTATTACAGACTGAGTACCAACATGTGGAACAAGTATTTAATAGTGGGCTCTTCAATCTAGCAGAGGAAGGTATAACACGATACAATGGCTGGAAGTTGAAGCTAGACAAACTCAGACGGGAAATGAGACATACATTTTAAATGAGGAGTGTACTTAACCATTGGAATAATTTACCAAGGGCTGTGGTGGGTGTTTCACTACCAACTTTTAAATCCAGATTGGATGTTCTTCTAAAAGATCCACTCTAGGAATTATTTTGGGTCAGTTCTCTGGCCTGTGTTATACAGGAGGTCAGACTAGATCAGAAGTGGGCAAACCATGGCCCGCGGACGGTCCTGCCCGGCCCCATAGCTCCTGGCCCGAGAGGCTAGCCCCGGTCCCCTCCCCTGCAGCTCCCCCCTCCCCTGCAGCCATAGGACCGGCGGGTTCGATAAGGGGCAGGGGGTCCCGGGGGGCAGTCAGGGAACAGGGGGCAGTTGGATGGGGCGGAGGTTCTGGGGGTGGTGGTCAGGGGATGGGGAACAGGGGGCGGTTGGATAGGGCAGAGGTTCTGGGGGGGCAGGGGATGGGGAACAGAGGGAGTTAGATAGCGGGTGGGGTCCTGGAGGGCGGTTAGGGGCAAGGGTCAGGGGACAAGGAGCGGGGGCGGGGCGGCTTGGATGGGGGTGGTGGGTTCTGAGGGGGGCAGTAGGTGCGAGGGGTCAGATAGGGGGTGGGGCCAGGCTGTTAAGGGAGGCACAGCCTTCCCTACCCGGCCCTCCATACAGTTTCTCATCCCGATGTGGCCCTCAGGCCAAAAAGTTTGCCCACCCCTGGACTAGATGATCAAAATGGTCCTTTCTGGTTTCAGAATCTATGAACTCCCTATATTATAGGGCAGTACACCCTTTCTGGATAGCTCTTTAAGGGCACTGTATCACAGTAGTGTGCTTGCGCTGGGTGAGCATATAATAGATTTACTAGCTGCTGAGTCTGTGTTCTGAGGACTGCATGGACTGGCACTTGCTTTGTTAAATGCTTCAGAGTTTGGGGGAATCCTGGGTGTTGATGGGCTGCTAAAGAGCAATTTGTATTACATAATTTTAAGGGATCTCCAGATTCTGTGTTCCAGTGACCGTTTGGGAGACTAATTTGTGAAACTTCCTGCTGCTTTATAATACATTTACATGTGCTGTGACTCTCCAAATTTAGAGTGCAGTGAGTGTGTCACCAATCTACCCCCCACATTCCCCCATACCTGGGCCAAAACACAAAGGGGCAGAGTTGCAGGGAAGTTTAAAGCTGGAGTGCCATCACTGGCATCCAGCACAGCTTTCTTCTAATGCCCCTGCCTTGTCCATTCTGTCCAGAGTCAGAATATTGGACATTCCACTGCATGAGATGCCTCCTTTTAGCAAAGGTATTGGAATGTTCTGCCATACAACCTGTCTGAGAATCTTTGGGTGCTTCTGTAAGTTACAAATCTTGCTGAATGTTCTTGTAAGGACCGTAAAAGAAAATCAAGGGGTCCTAACACCTTAAGGGTACTATTACAGCCAACAGAGTGCTCCAGAATGTGTGGTTCATAAATTAATTTCTGTAAGTCACGGTTTTAAGGTATCAAGTATCAAAGAGGTAGCAGTGTTAGTCTGGATCTGTAAGAGCAGCAAAGAGTCCTATATCACCTTATAGACTAACAGACGTATAGGAGCATGAGCTTTCGTGGGTGAATACCCACTTCTTCAGATGCATGTAGTGGAAATTTCCAGGGGCAGGTATAAATATGCAAGCAAGAATGAGTAAGGTTTTAAGGTAGTTTCTTCGGAAACATTTTCTCTCCTACAATAAGTGATCTTCAGAGAGCAGAGGAAAATGCTCTATATTCATTTCTGAGCTTAATCTAGCAATCAGTAAAACTAGATCAGCATGTAGGAAGTCCTCTTACAGGGCTTCCTGATACTCACCATTCAGCGGCATTCGTTAGCTAGTAACAGTTCTTCCAAGCAACCCTTCCAAGAGCACATTTTATTGTACTTTTGCTGTTAGCTTGGGATTAGATTTTTCATTTAATTAATGATTAAAAGCTAGTACCTGAGGCCTCAGTAAGAATTGGGAAGCCTTGAATTACTTGGTCTGTAGAGAAAACTTCTGAGAGGGAATGCCTGTAACATGAAAGCTTCCTTAAAGGAGGCAAAACTGGCTGCAAAACCATTATTCATGGGTAAAAACTCCATTAACTAACTTCTCATTGTAACCTGGGGAGTCCTTGCTGCTTGAACATCTGCGGGCTTTAGAAGAAAAATATATATGGAGTAAGTATTAAAGGAATCCACTGGTATTGACCAGGTTCAAAGGTTTGTGCCTGCATACACAAAGGAATGAAGGCTTGGTCTGATTTACACAGGAAGAATTTGTTCCACATATATTAATCTGTCAAAAAAGCCACTTGATTTCCTTGGATAGGGTTTAAAAGACCTTTGTTTTACTTCCCCCCGCCCTTTGTTCTAGCCCCTTCATATCTTCAAATCATGTGAAAAAGCACGTTTCAAAGGGGCAGAGAACAAATATTAGGTTGATGTGTTTTAAGGCTCTTTTCGGATTAAAGGTGGTTTAAATTTTCTCTAAAACAGAATATTAATGCAGCAATGGATTAATGAATATTTTGCAGGTGGAGAAGTTAAATTTTTATCACATAAGAAAAAATGCATTTCAGACTCGTTACAAAGTTATAAGGGGCACACTTTTCTTCTGTTGGCTTCATGTTCAGTGGCTTTATTCTTGGGAGAGAACATGGGTAGGCCACTGGACCGAGAGGAGATCTGTGTTGTATTCTCATCTTTGTCATCTTGGGCAAATAATTTTACTTCCCCTCTGTGCCTGTTTTCCTTCCCACCCTTTGTCTTACCTTGTCTATTTAATGACAGGTTTCAGAGTAGCAGCCGTGTTAGTCTGTATCCGCAAAAAGAACAGGAGTACTTGTGGCATCTTAGAGACTAACAAATTTATTTGAGCATAAGCTTTCGTGGGCTACAGCGCACTTCTTCGGATGCATAGAATGGCTATATATACAAGAAAAAAGAACAGGAGTACTTGTGGCACCTTAGAGACTAACAAATTTATTAGAGCATAAACTTTCGTGGACTACAGCCCACTTCTTAAAGCTTATGCTCTAATAAATTTGTTAGTCTCTAAGGTGCCACAAGTACTCCTGTTCTTTTTGCGGATACAGACTAACACGGCTGCTACTCTGAAACCTATATATACAAGTACTCCTGTTCTTCTTGTCTATTTAGGTTGTCAGCTCCTGGGGGCATGAACTCTTAGTGTGTGTATATACAGTGGCTGTTATAACAAAGTCCCAGTCCCAGTTGAGACCTCTTTGCTGTGCTCTAATACAATTCATACACAGCAGTATCTCTTGTTGGTTTTGTTTTTTTCTAGCATTATGTTGCTTGCTGCTATTGTCGTCTTCATTATGGAGCTGTCTCTTTTCCCTAATTGCCTCCTGTTTTTAGCATGCATTTTCTTAAATGCCGCTCTGTATAGGTCAGTGATACTGACGGTTGAAGATGTCTAACACCGGGACTTGAAAAATCCAGCTTTCACTCCCCTCCCCCAACCCAAAAATAATTCTAGTCTTTACGTTTGGAGCAGGGGAGATTCTCTTCCAAATGTAAGCAAAGTGTAACCCAGGGCTGCTCCTCAGGGTCAGTGGGCTGTAGTCCATGAAAGCTTATGCTCTAATAAATTTGTTAGTCTCTAAGGTGCCACAAGTACTCCTGTTCTTTTTTCCTCAGGGTCAGCTGCTCTAGGCACTGCTTTTAGCAGAGGAGTGTTCTGGGAGGAAGGGGGAGGAGTGGGTTTGCAGAGCGTGATGCAGGGATCCATCCACCAGAGCAGAGGGCTCTTAGACTTGCAGGGAGGAGGGAAGATCTATGATGAATGGATTTATTGCAAGGAAGGGGCTCTACAACACTGATTTGTGTGAGGAGTTGCTATAAATATTGTGGGGTGAGGGGCTGTTTTCACTTGATTTATTAGGAGCTACTGCTTTTTGTGATGGGGTGCAGCATTAATGAATTTAGGTGTGTTGGGAGGGATTGCTTTATCTGGGAGATCAGAGTTCAGTTGGTTGCAGACCAGGATTTTCCGTTCCAGCCTGCAGGAGATTGGGCAGGAGAGACAGTGGCTTGGAACATCCCAATGTATATTAGCCTGTTGAGGAGTCTTGGGTTAGTGGTTTGTAGGGTAAATTTTTCAAGCCTTTTGGCTAATGCTTTTTTGCTTCCTATGCCTCCCGCATCTCTCTCATCTGTTGGAGTAGCTACCAAATGCACACCTCACTGAGGACTTGCTCCCAGGGCTGCTCATCCTCTGCTCCGCCAGCTGTAACACTTCCATTTTTGATATTTTTTTAAAATATTTGCTGTAGTTTTAAATAGGACTAAGTTCCTCTCCACTTTCCCAAGACAGCAAGGTATAGTTATGAATCCCTCCACGGGGTATTGTCGGTCGTACTCATGAAAGCCAGGGACTAATACCAGTGGCTACTGCCAGACGTTAATGCCAACCCCTCCACTCTGTATTGTTCCTTGGTCATCCTTGGACAGACAATTGTGGTTATGTCACATTACAGGGTGGTTTTATGATGTGAACCATTGTTCACTGTGGTCTGGGATGAGAACACAAGTGTATCTAATGCATGAGTATGTTGCGCTACTTAGTCACTGGTAGACTGACTTGTTCTCTCAACAAATCTGTGCTCAAGGAGTGATTGAATAACTACCTTCCTTTACCTAGGACTGCATTCATCACCTCTATTGGCATCCTAAGAGGTGGAGAATGTTGGAATTAATGCAGGTGCTCTTACCTTTCATTCGTTCTGATTTTCAGGGTTCTCCTTATACAATGGAGGAGGGATGAATGGCACAACCCAGATGATGGATTTTCTGGAAGAACCTCTGCCTGGTGTGGGTACCTATGAAGATTTCAATACTATAGACTGGGTGAGAGAAAAGTCCAGAGACCGGGACAGGCACAGAGAGGTAAGTTTTTGTTTCTTTGCTTTTCGCTGGTGGTGCAAAGCAGAATTGTCTGCATATAAACTTCTTATCTCCTTGTCTCTGAATACTTTAATCTTGGGACACTTATAGTATCTGAGGGTGGAGGGTTTTCTCCCGGTGAGTGACCTGAGCACTATTCCACAGGTGATCTTTTAGTCCAAGGAAACGTAGATACAAAATTTTACCAGACATCAAAATGTACCAGCTGTATGAGCCCTGCATCTCTGTGCAAAGATTGTTAGTCTCTCGGAATGGCACGTGGGACTGAGGAATTGAGCCAACTGAATTTATCCCAACTTTTCCTGAGTTTCTCTGCATCCAGGATGTGGGAGGTTTCTGGGAACTGCATTACTGTTATTAGGGGATAATATTTGAACTGAGGAAGATAGCGAACATACTATGTACATGGTTTTGTTTGTAAGGAAGAGCAAGATTTCTTTTTGATCACATAATGGCTATTAAACAATAAAAACATAGCCATTATTTTTCAGCCTTGAAGACATGGTCTCTGTTGGAGAAGATTAAAGTGAAGTAACTCATGAGTTCCTTCCCCAGTGCTTTCTGGCTATGAGTGGTGAAGGAATTGGTTTAGAATGGCAGAGTGCCTTAAATGGGGAATTAAGCTTACTGACATGCTCCTGTACCATAAGACACTTGTTGGCAAGCTTTTTATAGGGCAGTGACTGGCCTAAACTTATTAACTGTAACTCTGTTTGCCAAAGTATTCTTTTGAAAGTTACATTGAGCATGACACAGTAGCCTCTGTCTTAACAAGTGAGGAGTACCCAAATCTACGACTGCCAGTCAGCACAGGAAAGGTGACAATCTTGCGTGATGCCCAGACTATCCCAAAGAGGAACAAGTACTCAAAGACCCTGTAAATGGCTGTGTAGATGCTACAAGCACGATTCCTCCCACCCCCACAGCTCCTTCATCGCTATCTATGATGGGAACTAAACCAAAGGGATTGCATAGAAAAGAAAATGAAAAACCGGTGATTGGCATGAATAGCCTCGTTGAGAAATGCCCAGACACGCTGCTAATAATGCTACCTCCTCTGTATAAACAACTTCAGACCAGATCAAACCAAAAATTACTAACTGGCCAAAAAGATCAGATTGCAACCGTAAAAAGAAACCTACAGCAGATAATTTATCCTTTCCAAAAACTCCCTCCGCCAGCCTCACTGGGTCAGTAGTAGCTATGCTCACAAACAATCTGGCTTTTGCTGCTCAAAGGCAAAATCTAAAGAAACAAGTAATTAAAATCCTTCAGCCAGAAAGGTGTCTGCTAACCATTTTTATTCCAGTTAATGGGGATTTGTTGTCTGGCCAATGGGTCTTTTACCCAGGACGAATAATGGACTACGTACTGGGACTTGCATCAGAATTGTTAGTGCGTTCAATAGCCCCCATTTGATCCTTTCATACAGCCTTCAAGAGCAGTAAGATGAACAAACTTAAAACAGTCTTTCATGTTAGGTAAACTTTATAGGGCAGAGCCTTAGAAGAAGTTATCAACCTTGATCTTGAGACTCAGAATTGCGTCTAAGCATTAAGAGACCACCTCGGAACAGTTGAATACCTCTGAACCAAGATGTCTGGCCCGAAAAGCCGCGTTGAAATAACCTTTCCATTAACGGGGATTTACACACACGTGCAAGGTCTTGACAATCTCAGGAATTGAGCTTATCACAGATCAGAGTCTACTTGAGTGCTCAAAGTAATGCCCAGCCTCTGTCATTCCTCTCCTGGTCAAGGGACTAGATTGAACACATTAAGCATTTGTACCTTGCTGAAAAATATGTATCTATCTAGGAATTAGTATACTAATTGAGGGTGCATGGCATGATGACAGGTGGACATGGAATGCTCTGAAGGTAGTTCTGTTTCCACAAACTGCTCAGGACAACAGTCCTATTAATAGTAAAAATACTGGGTTTGAGAGAACTAAAGAATAACATGCAAGTTTGTGCGTTTAAATGGGAAAAGACATTTAAGGTGAAAGTTTGATTTAATCTTTTCTTTGATTTTCCTGGTTTTGGGAAGCTTAATTGTCCTTGATTCACGCTTGCGTACCTATTCTGCGTAATGCATTGCTTACAATACTGGATGTTTTGATTCTGGAAACCCTGCATTTCCTGGGTAAAATCACGTGATTAAAGGATAGAGTTTGAATCTTAACTCTGAATTTTTTGTACTGGTGGGAGAAACTCAAACCCTAACGTTACTATTAGTATTTTTCTAGGATTAATTAAAAACATCTGCTTCTGAAATAGATCTGTCTGTGTCTGCTAAAGAATGTTTAGTCTCTGCCTTTTTAAACCTTTCCTCCAGATTGCTAGTAAAAGTAAAGAGTCAACATGGGCTTTGATTCACAGTGTGAGCGATGCCTTCTCTGGTTGGCTGTTGATGCTCCTCATAGGACTGTTAGCAGGTAAGAAGACAATACCGTTTAAAATGAATTCCCAGTCCTGCACTATAGTGTCTGCATTGATTCCTCCTAACCCACACTCTTGTGTGACTTTCTGGTCCAGAGATGAGTGCTGCCATTTCTGCTTACATGGTTTTACAGTGGAATATGAAATTATATTTAAGCACTTGCAGCCATAGTGCCTGTGTGTCATGATACAAAAATCAGACAAGCTAGAATTCCCCTTACTGGGCATACACTGTCTGCTGTTACCACTGCAAATAGAGGACTCAGCCCAAAAAGGAGAAAATGCTAAATCAAAGAGAAACGTCTCATCTTCATCATACCCTGTCAGTCACCAAAGAATGGCTCTGGCCAGCAGCCAAAGGGAGCAAGTTCCAAAGTTTGGGGCCCCGAGTTCTTCTGTCAGTACTGGAGAGGCCAACTCCAGGGACTGACAGCAGGAGATTTTTTTGCTCATTTTTAATTGCTGCAATCGGATAAAGGTGAGGGGGAGGGGCTCTCAGGTACCAGTTCCCAGACCTTTTCAGATATCACAGTAGCAGCCATGTTAGTCTGTATCTGCAAAAAGAACAGAAGTACTTGTGGCACCTTAGAGACTAACAAATTTATTTGAGCATAAGCATTCGTGGGCTACAGCCCACTTCATTGGATGCATAGAATGGAACATATAGCAAGGAGATGTGTATATACATACACAGACCATGAAAAGGTGGGGGTTGTCCTACTCACTCTAAGAGGCTAATTAATTAAGATGAGCTATAATCAGCAGGAGAGAAAAAAACTATTGAAGTGATAATCAAGATAGCCCATTTCAGACACTTTGACAAGAAAGTGTGAGGATACTTAACATGGGGAAATAGATTCAATGTATGGATCAACTCAGGTTTGAATAGAGACTGGGAATGGCTGAGCCATTACACACATTGAATCTATTTCCTCATGTTAAGTATCCCCACACCTTCTTGTCAAATTTCAGAGTAGCAGCTGTGTTAGTCTGTATCCACAAAAAGAAGAACAGGAGTACTTGTGGCACCTTAGAGACTAACAAATTTATTAGAGCATAAGCTTTCGTGGACTACAGCCCACTTCTTCGGATGCATATAGAATGGAACATATATTGAGGAGATATATATACACCCATACAGAGAGCATAAACAGGTGGGAGTTGTCTTACCAACTCTGAGAGGCCAATTAATTAAGAGAGAAAAAAAAACTTTTGAAGTGATAATCAAGATAGCCCAGTACAGACAGACTTCTTGTCAAAGTGTCTGAAATGGGCTATCTTGATTATCACTTCAATTGGTTTTTTTTTCTTTTGCTGAGAATAGCTCATCTTAATTAATTAGCTTCTTAGAATGGGTAGGACAACCCACACCTTTTCATGTTCTGTGTATGTATATACATCTCCTTGCTATATGTTCCATTCTATGCATCCGATGAAGTGGGCTGTAGCCCACGAAAGCTTATGCTCAAATAAATTTGTTAGTCTCTAAGGTGCCACAAGTACTCCAGACCTTTCAGAGAGACAGATTTGCAGATAGCTTTAAACTACATCAGAAGCAACTGGAGCCAATGGAGCAGTGATAAATCAATAGGCAGCAGCTAAACTCTTACAATAAATGATGCGGATATATTCATATTTACATAGATAATTTGCTTATTGACACATGGAAATTATACTTTGTTGTGGCCCTTTTTCATTAATGTGCGTTGGAAGAGTATTGCTAAACATCTAGCATGAGCTCTTGAATATATTGTACCCAGACTTACTGATATAGATCAGGTTGACTCCATTCATGGTCACCACCTTGGTAATTAAACATGTGACATTTCCTGCAGTCTTGGAAGTGGGGGACAACTCATCTGAAGGCATCTATTCTAAGGATGTTAGGGATCATGGGAATATCACCCCGAAAACATAGACCTTGTTTTCTTACCAACTTTCTCCTATTTCCATTTGGCACATGCCTGTGACTTTCTTGGTTTCTAGTGGCTATTGGAAATGGTTTATTTCAAGTCCTACATTGCTCATGCCCCAGAGTCAATGTTGTTAGTATAACTGTAGATTTAGTGCTTAAGTGCTGTAGAGAGCACGAGACCTTTTTTGTTTAGGCGCTCCATAAATGTGATCTTACCCCTTCTGTACCTCAAAAATTATCTGCCACACCATATTGATGTTGGAAAAACTTACCTGCTAACCAAAATGAATTATGTTCTGATGCCTGGGGTGGGACTTGGTGCAATTTTTGTCTGTCAAATGTTGAAATATTGGGGCACTTTTCTCCCACACACATTTAAAAACATCCGTAGGTGAATCTTCTCTTTAGCTCTTCAAAGAACAAACATAAATTGTATGTACACCTCTGTCCCTATATAACGCTGTCCTTGGGAGCCAAAAAATCTTACCGCATTATAGGTGAAACTGCGTTATATCAAACTTGCTTTGATCCACCGGAATGCGCAGCCCCGCTCCCCTGGAGCGCTGCTTTATCGCATTATATCCGAATTCGTGTTATATCGGGTCACGTTATATCGGGGTAGAGGTGTACATAAGTACTGCAAGGGTAGTGTTTGGCCCTATGGTAAATGTGCCAGAATGCCACAGGAAATGTAACATTCAGGAGATTCCAGCAGTCTGAGATAATTCCTAACTTTTTATCTTTGTTTTCACATTAGGTTCTCTAGCTGGTCTGATAGACATCTCTGCCCACTGGATGACAGATTTGAAAGAAGGGCTGTGTCTGTCAGGCTTCTGGTTTAACCATGAACACTGCTGCTGGAACTCCAATGAGACAACCTTTGAGGATAGGGATAAGTGCCCAGAGTGGGAGAGCTGGTCACAGCTTATAATTGGCCATGGAGAGGTGAGGTGTAAAAAGAATTGATTCTGTTGCTGGTCTGTTTTTTGCACATTTACTTAGTCACAGGGTTCATTGCTGTAAAGCAAGCATACTTCGAGCCTGAAGCGTCCATCAGGCTTAGCACCCCATGCTGGCATCTTTCAGTTGTATGAATAAAAATAACTTCACTACTTTGTTTAGGCTTGGCAACTTCGATTTTTTTAAATATTTTTTTTTTATAATTTTGATGGATAATATCAGTGTTTATTTTTAAGCATTTTTAAAATTTTCACAGTTGTGTAAAATTATGGGGTATGTCAGACAATTGGATGTCAGACAATTATTTCGTGACAGATTCAAAACTTAAAGCTCGCTAATTGTTGAGACGCAAATTTTCAAAATCAAATGGCAAAATATATGAAGTAAATATCCTCAGATCAAACTTCTCAAGTAGTATTTCTTTGCCTATTTGTACATTTTGATGATTATTGATAGAAATATTTTGTCAGTTTGTGTGCATATAGTGAAATTGATGTTTACCAACATTTGCCAATAAAAATCGAATCCTTCCAAGCCTAATTATGTTTATGTTCTATCCAGTGAGGGAAGCTGAAAGCTTATTACATTGTGTAAAGGTATCTGTGTGCTAACACACGTTTGAGTTCTTAGCCTTGCGAAGGGTTTTTTGCATAGTTTAAATCTTTTTAGGGCAATGCAGAATTTACTGTTTTTTGGGGTTCTTTTGGGGAGAACAGGATTAAGAGCTTGTGTTCTGTACCATTGTGTCTAATAAGTAGAACATTCATATTTGTTCAAATGGTAGTGTAGATCTTTATCCTATGTTAAGCCTGTCCTTAAAGCCACATGGTCCAGTTTATTAGCCAACGTCCTGTATGCTCACAAGATATCCATTGGCTTGCCCCGTACTAAGTGGTCACCCGTATAAACGCAAATTCTACATGCTTCCCTTCTTCCCCATCAATCTCTCTAAATATTTAATAGATAATGTGATTTTGATTGAGGGTGACAGTCTAAATCAAGCAATTTTTTTTCTCCATTTCAGGGGGCATTTGCATACATTCTCAATTACTTCATGTATGTTCTCTGGGCCCTGGTATTCTCTCTCCTTGCAGTGTTGCTGGTCAGGGGATTTGCACCTTATGCTTGTGGCTCAGGAATCCCAGAGGTGAGTCTGACTGTCACTTTCCTCAAACAAAGCAGTCTGAAATATTTCCCATCATTTGGCCTAAGGTTGCTTCTGGGATAGAGGGATGTAATTGTTCATCAAAAGATGACAATACCATGGAAATTTAAGGAAAATTGCACTTTTTTAAAATGTAAAACTAGAAAACAGAATGTTCTAACTTTTTGCTTCATTTCAAATTGCAGTGTTCAAATATAACTAGTCTCACATGTCTCCAAGTAATGACTGCAAAAATATTTTAAAAAGCACCTTTCCCATCAGCATGTCGTCACAGAAGTTAAACACTACTGTTTGTATAGCACTTAGTGTATGCCAGCCAGCAGCTCAGCAGAGATTAGCTGGTGTCAGTGACCAAACAGTTAACTTTGTTTCACTTTCAGTGCAAATATGAAAGAAATAAACTGTTTAGCAACTATAAAGTGTTTAATAAAGCTGTAAAACAAAGTCCTTGACAGCATAGTGGGCCTCTGATAAAATAGAGATCTAGTCAATTTGCAGACCAAATGTTTGAATGAAAGGCTGTAAAACTTTGCTTTGACTTTCAGATCAAAACGATCTTGAGTGGTTTCATCATTAGAGGCTATTTGGGCAAGTGGACCCTGATAATCAAAACTGTTACCTTGGTGTTGGCAGTATCGTCTGGCTTAAGTTTGGGGAAAGAGGGCCCTTTGGTGCATGTAGCTTGCTGTTGTGGAAACATCTTGTGTCATCTTTTCACCAAATACAGGAAAAATGAGGCCAAGCGCAGAGAGGTAAAACAAAGATGCTGTAACCTTGTTAAAAACTGCTGGGCTTTGTGGGGCTTTGCACTAGGTGCTGAATGGCTTACTACTATTTCTAGATCAATTTGGAATATAAGTAGCCAATTTTAGAATGGTGGTTCTGCAGATCATTGAGTAAAACAATTTATCTTTAGCATACAGTATGCAAACATACTAGTATGAAGGCTACTCTGTGCATGTGTAATGTGTTGAGTATAATATTGCTGTTTATATATAGATACATACATACACTGTCTGATAGGTAAGGAATCTAGCACCAACTTCTTAATCTAACGCAACACTTATTTGGAGCAAAAAAAATTTGTGTTTGGCTTCCCTTGTGAAAATATTTCTACAAGGAAATGATACTTTTCCACAATGTACATAGGGTAGGGATTTTTTTGGTTTGTGAGATAAATATTAGCAAGTGATATAAACTTGCTTTGATTTGATTTGACAGTTCTGCAGCCCTTGAGTTATAGTACTTGCACAAGTAATGTTCTGTGGACTTGGATAAGAGTAAACACTACTCAACCTAAGTACAGGCTGAGGTATTCGGCCATCTGACATTCAATGGAGATGGGTGCATGATAAGAGCCTAACTAGTTCAGGAGAGAATTCTAACATCTGAATTGATTTAAAATATGACCACAGTAAACAGATGAACTGACCTAAATCAATTGAAGATATATTCCATAAGTTACTACAAAATGTTATCATAACATCCTATGACATTTTATGGCAACTCTTGGAAAGTGATGACTGAGATCCTAGTATCGCCTTGTCTGTATTATCTTTTGGCAACCATAAATACAACACTATTTTAAGACACAATTTAAGTATCATGAATGACTCCATGCAGTCTCTTGTTTAGAATTTCATGAATTAATTATTTCTAGGAAACTGGATAAAAGGTGTAAGGAATACAGATAGCCACGTGATTGTTGATTGTAGAATTAACAAGAAAATACCTTTTTGTGTTTATGCTATTGAGATGTGATTGTGACTTTGTACTGAACCTTTTTCCAAGACAAATATAGAACATGAAATCTGAGGAAGGAGGTAATTGTAAACTATATTGATACTACCAAGTTTGAGACTAGAGAGCTGTTTAAATGTTAATGATAACATTTTGTAGTAAATTACGGAATAATCTCCAGTTTATTTAGGTCATTTCACCTGTTTACTGTGGTTATATTTTAAATCAATTCAGATGTTAGGTGAGCTATACAGTAGAAATCTGAGTTGTACAAAATGTACCTACTTGAACAAAGGAGTAATATTGTCCATGTCTGACTTCTAACCTCTTGATTTAGGTTTTGTCAGCTGCTGCAGCTGCTGGCGTGTCCGTAGCTTTTGGTGCACCAATTGGAGGGGTATTGTTTAGTCTGGAAGAGGTAATCTAAACTTTGTATTTACTCCTGGCATGTTATTTTGTTGCACACATACGAACTGCTTTAAACATGCAGCATTTCAATCTCCTCCATGGCTGTTTTGATGCAGAGGAAGCATGCACAATTAACTATCATTTGGAGTATTTAGAAGAGTGAGCTAAGCAACATAAATGCTTGTGAGTGTCAGCTGAATGCTTCGAGTCTTGAAAGGTTTACTGCTGAAGGATGTGAATTAATGTCTTTATTTTTACAGCAATACTGATAATTCCCCCACACAGCTGTGCCATTGCACGCCGGTACTAACTAGTGACCCCCCAGTTTTCATAGTCTTGTTTCCAAAACTCTGTCTTGCACTACTCCCCTGCCCCCCCCTCCTCCCCCTAAAAAAGATGACCGTGTACCTCAATCCTAATCTATATCCACCTTGATAATCCAGTCTTGGTTCTCTCCAAGGAGACTTTTAATTTAGTTGAGTTTTGGAGGGGTCACAAGCCACATAAATGGAATAGATCATTGCTACCCTTTTAAGAATTTAATGTTACGATTAGCAATCCTCTCATCCCTGTTCTGAGTGGTAAGATCGTGGTAGCCACTCTAGGAGCTATCTTACAGCTCAGCTCTGATGCAGCATGCCAAACTAATCAGTGATATGTAACCAGTCATTCAGCTCCAGCTGTCAGCAGTTTGTACCACAACATTCTCAAAGTAATATTCACTTACCCTGCTGGGGATGGCTTTCTATGCAGCAAATACCCACATATGATCAGATTGACCACAAAACTTATCTTCCATGCGACCAATCAAGAATGGAACTCAAGATCAGGCCTGGGTACCTGGTATAAGACATAGGTATTAATCAGTGAGGCCATCTAGATGCCCCTTTCCCCCTTACTAAATAAAAAGCATTGCCACCTTTATATTTTCAAGCCCAGAACCGTATACCATGTTTTGGAAAGAATTCTCCATTCTGCCTAGCATCTCTGAAATAATCTTCCATTAACATGTGTTCATTGTAAATACAGCTTGGAAATCCTATGACTTAATCCCAAAATGTGGAAGTAGTCTGAAGTCTCCAATGGATAGTATCAGTAGGGTACACACATGGTGCGCTCAGGGTTACTATGCCATTCACTTTACTATATAAAAGGGTGCTCCTTTTGAATGAAGCAGTAGCTTGATTGTTCCATGGCTTATTACTAGGCAAATTTGGAATTTTAAATAGTCAATTTTTTTAAGTTTTAGAATGCTTGGTGGTTGTAAATTGAGTAAAACAATTTCTTTAGCGTACAGTATGCAAACACTAGTATAAAGACTACTCTATGCATGTGTGTAATTCGTTGAGTATAACATTACTGTTTATATAAACAGTACTGTGTGATAGGTAAGGAATCTCGCACCAACCTTTTACATTAGAGTCCTTAACCCTACTTTATACAACGGTAGCTCTTATTGGACAGTAATTAATGTCAGTTTACAATAAATGACTGAATCTGCCTTTTCCCCCTTTTTAGGTGAGTTATTATTTTCCCCTCAAGACTTTGTGGAGATCTTTCTTTGCCGCCCTGGTAGCAGCGTTCACCCTGCGCTCCATCAACCCTTTTGGAAACAGCCGTCTGGTTTTGTTTTACGTGGAGTTTCACACACCTTGGCATCTTCTGGAGCTTGTGCCATTCATCCTTTTGGGAATCTTTGGTGGTCTTTGGGGATCTTTCTTTATTCGCAGCAACATTGCCTGGTGCAGAAGACGTAAGACAACCAAACTTGGCAAGTATCCTGTGCTGGAAGTGCTTGTTGTGACTGCCATCACGGCTGTTCTGGCTTTCCCCAATGAGTATACCCGTATGAGCACCAGTGAGCTGATTTCTGAGCTGTTCAATGACTGTGGGCTCCTGGATTTCTCCAAGCTCTGCGAGTATGTGAATGACTTCAACAGCACCACAGGGGATGATCTGCCGGACCGAGCCGCTGGCCCAGGAGTCTACACAGCTATGTGGCAGCTGGCTTTGGCCCTTATCCTAAAAGTCTTCATCACCATATTCACTTTTGGCATGAAGGTGAGAATGATGTGTAAAATGATATGCAGGTAGAAAGGTTCAAATCCATGTCAGTCTTTCTGAATGTTAAGAATCAAGTGTAGTAATTTTCAAATGAGCCTTAATCACTTAACAGCCTACATCTCATGGACTTTCAGTGGGATGACCTCATGCAAAGTGACTAATATGCTCTTGCAAATTTTACCCCCATTCTAAACTCCTCTAATTGTGCCCAGTTATTGGTAGTTAGCAGTGTTACTCTTAGCAGTGTTTTGCCACACTCCACTGTCACAATTACTGGGCTAAGTGCATCTCTCACCCCTGCTGTTTTCTTTGAGTGCATCCCTCTCAGGCTGTGTGCCATCACCTGTCTTTAGAAGGATCATGTGATTCTTTCAAACCAGGCCTTGCCTGCAGTCACCTGTGATCATCACAGCAGGCCTGACTTATCTTCAGTGCCTGTGGATCTCTTTCCCTCAGGAGCAAGTGATAACCGGTAACCAGGCAGCCTTTTCAAAGCAAAGGCATTTCAGAGAAAACAGATCTCAAAAGCAATAACCCAGTGTATATGCATGCCAGCCTTTCCCTGTGGCTTACCGTTTCCCTGGATCTGGGGGGAAGGCCTCAGCGCCTTCAGACTCCTCTGCAGAGTCTTTCCCTGTGCCAGCCTGTCTTCTTGACAGCTCCTGACAGTTTACCCATCTTCTCCTGAAAAGGTTTTCTTTTTGACCTATAGGCTCCCAGCCTGGCAAAATAGTTCAAAATACTTCACCCTAGAAGTATGCTACCGTCTTGTAATTGCCCCCAGTGTTTGCTGGGAGGCTGCTTATCTAGATCCATTGGGTTGTTTTCCTACTTGTTTTATCCATAGCCTCTATTAAGCGTATAAGTCTTATAACCCAATGTACAACAGTCTCACCTCACTGACCAGGCTACATAGTATTCACACAGCATCTCCACCTCCACCACACCCACTTCTTGAGATTACTTTACTTTAAAATGGAGCAACAAGCACAGTTCTGAATTGTCTTGGTTTTGGAGGCTTAGGCTAGAACTTGAGAGTGAAGTTGCATGTTTAAAACATTAAGTTAATTGTATGCACAATCGCAACTTAATTTCTCACATCCTTCCAGCTTCTGCATTTTTTGCAGGCAGAATCAAAGTGCACTCTTATAAAAATGTAGCCCCTGGGAATTTTTTTCAGCTTGAGTTATTTTAAATGGTCATTGCTTAAGATAGTTAATTTGAAATACCCTCCTTTGGACATGATTTGCTTTGACACTGGTTGTGAGCTATTTTCATTATTTAAAAAAAAAAAAAAAAAGCTTTTATTATCATAGAGTATCAGATGTGAGACCCTTTCATGCTTATTCATTAGCAACCTTTTGAGCCACTAAAATTATAATGCACTTGGAGGCTTCCTCATAAGAAACTGAAGGGGGGGAATTTGAGATGCTGGCTGTAGGACTGCAAACTAAGGTTCTTTTTCCCAGTATTTGAAAAGTGACTGATCATCTAATTCTACTAAAGGCAAACCTATGAATCACTAAATATATGCAAAACAACTTCCCCTTTAATGTTACAGTGAAGTGGTCCTTTGCTACAGTGCTCAAATGTCTGAGAAAAAGGATGTGATGCTTTCAGCTAGTCTGACAGTTTAACTGAAAGCACTTTGTACTTTATAAGCCAAATCATGTCAGAGTAAATGATGTGAATATGGCTGTGAGAATCACTAATGGTCCCTGTAAGACCTTATTCTGGGGACCACTGTGGCAAGGCTCAGTTAGATTTTTTTCGTGCTGGGGAGAGGGATTTTTCTATTTTTAGGGATGGAATTTTCACTGCGTTCGGGTGTTTCGCATATGACAACACACAGCAGTTGTCCAGCTGGATAGGCATAGGGGAACACTAATATATATTGTGTATATAGCTATTTTGTTATTCTCAGAGGACAGTGACTTATTAGAAACTTATTAAACAAAGCAACAGTAACCAGGTATGTATGGTAACAAATCCTGGGTGTAGGGGGGTACTTTATGTATGCAGGTATAATCCACCATAGTGTAAGTAAACCCCAACAAAGAAATGAAGACTGGCTCTGGAACACCCTACCTCAAAATAAGATGTCCTTTTCAATCTGCAATTGTGTTTTGGTGCTGTCATCATAGTTATCATAAACAATGTACATGGCTTAAGATTTGAGCCTAGCATACACTTCCACAATTAGTTTGCACTCCCATGAAAATGTGTAAGACAGGAAAGGGGGCAGTGTGTGGTACCTAAACCTTCCTCTGGGATGTTGAATGCCCCCATGTCTTTCCTTTAAATGGGGCGGGGGCTGGGGGTGATATTGTAAAGCACGGTGTCTGTTTCATTCAGTTCTTCTGCGTTTCCTGAAATGATCAGTTGTCGGCTCCTCAGGCTAAAGCAAGGTTCTTTACAGCAGAGCTCTTGCACGGTTTCAGGTGTGAGTGACAGGTAAGTACAGTTGATTATGTAGGGAGCTGAGAATGAATGTTACAATAAAAACTGCATTATCCAGGCAGGCACCATAGACATTGTATTTTACCTGTTCATTCAGGACGTCCTAGCAGTGTCAGTACAGTATGTATCCTTCCCTCTGCAGGGAGCAAATCAGTACATAGTTTAACGATTATCGCCAACAATCCTAGTTGACGATGATTGCCAAACTGATTCTGTGTTCAACTTCTGTCTGTTACCATCCGTGTATGTTGTTGACATACTGTTGCAAACATGCCTTTACCTTACACTGATGTGTTGGATTTTTTTGGTAGGTCCCTTCGGGTCTCTTCATTCCCAGCATGGCGGTTGGTGCCATAGTAGGCAGACTACTAGGTGTAGGAATGGAGCAGCTGGCTTATTATCACCATGACTGGACTATCTTCAGTGGCTGGTGCAGTCAAGGGGCTGATTGCATCACTCCTGGCCTTTATGCAATGGTTGGTGCTGCAGCATGTCTAGGTAAGCAATAAATATTTAGTGCTAGTTTAAAGCCAAAACTTAGTGTGATACTTTGTCAGTTATCTACATAGCTGCCTTCGGAGTTACAGAGAAATTATTTTGTGCGAAATGCTACTAGTTTTGCGGACTTTGAAACTGCTTTTATCTAGAGAGAGGAAGCTCTTTGAAAATGTACTTTGTAATGCGTAATGTATTGATCATATTTCTGCCTGGTCTAATCTGCACTAGGATGTCCTTGGAAATTAGATGAAACACTTGAGGGGGAATTTCCTGAGTAAATACTTAAATCCCTGGTCAACCTAATCGATTTTAAGCCTTTTTCTAGGCTTTCAGTCCTTCTGTCAGCCTTTCTGCTTCATGGTACAATTCTTGTTTCATGTACTCTGTTGTGGGGTTTGGGGAGTATTTCATCCATTTAACAAAAATCCCTTTTATGAAGTAGGAGTATATCTGACTGGGTTCTACCCTGGGACACAATTCCCAAACTAATTGGCTGCAATGTGCCTTATGCTTTCCAAAGATCTGTTGTCTTTGGTTTTCATCACAAGTCACACCAACTTCAGTTAACGCATCCAAGTGGAAGTAGTGGAGCAAACCCTGGAAGTTTAGATTTATCTCGGTCCTGCTGCTGCTGTTTTCAGAGAGGACACATGTCTGAAAACTCAGAATACTTACTTTTAGCCCAGTGGCCCCCAAACTTTTTACGTTGCACCCTTTCCCCCCTCCGGGAGCCAGGGCTGAAAGCAGGACCACAGTTGGGGCCAGATCTGCGGCTGAGGCCACAGTTGGGGCCATTGGCTGATGCTGGGGCTGGAGCCGTGGCTGGGCTGGGAGCCGGGGCCAAGGCTGGGGCTGCACCTGGGGGCAGGTCTAGGGCCGGGAGCAGAACCGTGGGCGGATCTGGGGCTGGAACAGAGCGGAGGGCAGAGCGGAGTTGGGTGGCGCTCCCTTCCCACCCCACTGTGGGGCCTGGCCTGGGCCCTGCCGTGCCCCCCAACATTCCTTTGCACCCCCCTAAGGGGGTATGCCCCACTGTTCTGGTGTTGGGATTCTGTTAGGAAAAAGGAGTAATGCATTTATTGAAATCTAAAATACTTCCTGGCTTTGGAGATGCTGTAAAATAGGAGGCATGTAAACATGCTATTTTAGAACATTATCAATCTTCTTGGAAGTAGATCAGTCAGTCACTTCCACTGTTGTTGGCAGAGTACTCCATATGTTGTAATAAGCAATAGCGTTAAATAAACATGGTTGTTTTTAATGGTCACTGGTGGACAAATGCTGAAGTGGAGATGTCACTTAAAGCAGAAGACTGTTACTGGAGGGAAAAACTCCCATATTATTGTAAAAGTAAAAAATCAAAGCTTTAGAAGTAGCTATGGGGACTCAGAACTCAAGAAGGCAGCTTTATTGGGTAAAATTTTCAAAGGAGCTTAAGTGCCATTTTCAAAGGTGACTTAGGAGCTTAAGTCACTCAGGCTCTTCTGAATGTTTGTTTTTTATTCATTTTGCTTTGAAACCGATGTGTATGTATTTCCCAGTGTTCAAAATGCCTGTGTGTAGCTAAACCAAAGCAGTTAAAAAGCCAGTTGTATCCTCCCATGGCCGTCCAAGGAACTGAAGATGGCAACAATGACAGAGTCAGAATGCCACCTGGCTTGGCGGTACACCAGCCTGAAAGAAAGTAATGGATCATAAACAGTTATCTATCCTTGTGGTTGAGGTGTTTTAGATCTATACTCTGCATGTGTGTGAACTCTTGTCAAGGAACAATGAACAACTTTCCAGCAAGCTGGGACTAAGAAACACCAGTTGGTATTTTATTTTTATATATAAAAATATATTAGTGTGTAGATGCATGTATATTTATTACTAACTAATGGTTCTCAGTTCCTGCTTACTGGGAAATTGATAAATGTAAATCTGAACTGTCAAAGGAAATAATTTACTAAACCAATGTAAATATCAGACACATTTCAGAGGTTCTGTTAGTTCTTCATGATAGCAGACCCACTGAATTGCATGATTCTGGCCACAAAAACATGAGGCAACAGTCCAGATCGGAAGTATGCCCGACCAGCTGATATGAATGTGTGTGGTTCCTTGAGGCTACTTCTGTGTACTATGGGAGAGTCAAAAGAACAACTCTGGCTCCTGGCTTCATGGAATTTAAGTGACACTGAGAAGCAGATCTATCCAAAACAAATTTAATGACTCCTGTAATCCAGACTAAAACGTATAACCAACCTGCTGTAAAGCATGGACATTTTGTAATTAAGTAACATTTACCTATATTCACATTTGTTTTACAGTGTAACCTTGAAAATGATGTCCTGCCTGTCCGTAGAATGTGAAGACTAGGGATGTCCATCTGCTACATCCTCATGATAGCAGAGCTGACTTTAGTGTAGTATGCCTACATTGCACATCAGAAACAAGGGAGCTCTTGTTGGGAATCCCTAGGAGTGTGTCAAACTCTGAGACTTGTGTTCTGCTTTGCAGGTGGAGTAACCCGTATGACTGTGTCGCTGGTGGTTATTATGTTTGAGCTTACTGGTGGACTGGAATACATTGTTCCTCTAATGGCTGCAGCCATGACTAGCAAGTGGGTGGCAGATGCAATTGGACGGGAGGGCATCTATGATGCCCATATTCGTCTCAATGGCTACCCCTTCCTAGAAGCCAAGGAGGAGTTCTCGCACAAGACTCTCGCCATGGACGTAATGAGGCCCCGTCGGAATGACCCTGTTCTGACTGTCCTCACACAAGACAGCATGACGGTAGAGGATGTAGAGGCCATAATCAATGAAACCACTTACAGCGGCTATCCGGTGGTGGTGTCCCGGGAGTCCCAGAGGCTGGTCGGTTTGTCCTCCGGCGAGATGTCATCATTTCAATTGGTAAGAGAACCAAAGCGGAATGCAATGTGGATAAAAGCGTTGCAGTCAGAGACCTCTAAATGTCACCGGTTACAACTTGTTAAATAGAGTGCTGTAGATGTAAGCTTCAGTGAACGTTGCCATTATGCAATGCCTGTGATCAGGGCATGTAACTTCCATCACCCCGAGCCTTGGTGTGCAAAGTGCTACTCAGCGTGTGTGTTTGACTAAATCAATGCAGCAAGAGCACTGCCAGGGAGAATAAGGCTTTGGCCCAGCAGCAACTAAAAATATTTTATTTTATTGGCTGACTTATTTTTGAAAGACACTTTCTGCAGCTAAGCTTCAATGTGGTTGGAGTATTGTTGGTTCTGTGCACTTAAAAACAAAACCCGAGATGCACTTGAAAGAGTGGGTCTGGCTGTTGCCTTATACCGACTTGTTAGTGTTTCATCCACACCCACGGCCGTTTGAGATGGTGCTGCCAAACCTGCAGATGGAGGATCAAAGTCACGGGGTTCCCATCAACCTCCACTCCACAAGGGACAGGTTGAAAGGCTAGTGTGCTATTTGCGTGTCATGCTTCAGTGCCACTTGGTGGGCAGTGTGAGCAGCTTTGCGTTGACCAGAGCTTGAGAAATAAGGATTATACCTCCTTCATCACAGCACTGTCTGGGACATGTTGCAAATTCCCCTTACCCTCCTGCTTATCAGGAACTCCCCACCTACTCTGTCCTCAACTTCATGAACACAGGCACTGTCTCTGGGCATACTACCTGTTGGTGCGCTCTGTGGAATGGAATCCTTTTGCCTGGCATGGCAGAGGAGTTTGAGCAGGCAGAGCAAACGTTCTCGTGAGACCCCTAATGTAGCTTGTAAGGAGGGACCCAGATCTGTGTGAACCAGCTCTGTTCATGCTCATGTTAGTGAGAGACTCTGTAGTGCACAAAAAACACTTGTTGATTTTGGTGGGAATCTGCAGGCTGTATGAAGTACAGACTTCACTCACTGTCTCTCAGTATGGGAATGCTTGCTCTTGATATGTATCTTACTAAATATTTCAGCCATTGACAATGGGAGGGAAGGAAATGCAGGAAAGGTACATTACAGCTTAATGATTTCCTTCCTTGGGCCTGACTGCACTGGGATACAACATGGTCTCATTTAGTCAGGACTGTGCAGAGATTTTCCAGTGGAGTAATTCGTGTTTTCTGAAGATTCACAAAAAAGAATTAGTTCCCAGCGGTCTGCCTGATCTGATTGGCGAATACCTAAGCTGGGCACCATTCTGAATCCTGACTTTTGGAAGTCAGGCCAGCCGCTTTCCTCATTATTTTAGGCAATAATGATAATTAAATGGTATCCAGGCACTGTGGTAGGTATGGCTAGCATCAGATTGGCTTGTTGTGGTTGGGAGGTGAAGTCTGCTACTCTCATTAAAGTAAACTTTACAAAGGTGGAGAGTACCTTACCTGAGCCATGTCTTCAACGACTGGGGGGAATCCTCTTTCTAATCAAGTATACATAGTGATCCCTATCTATTAAGTTGCTATAGAATATTGTTCTCTGCTAAATATGAAAGGGACCCAGTTCTGTAGCCAGGTAAGGGCACTGAACATGTTGCATACCCCTGTATGCTTCAGTTTGCCCATCTTAAGTTCTGTCTAGATGGGTAGGTTGAAGGTCCTTTTATGACTAGTGCTACATAAAGGCAAACTAGTATCCCTCTCTCACGTCTCCTGAGCAGCAGATCTGTGCCCAGTATTGTCCTCTAGTCATGTCCAGAAATGCTCTTCTATAGGTGGGTTTCTTGGCAGCAACAAGGTGATGCAATTGCTCTGGGAGCACCAAAAAGTTAATCCAAACTCTGTTGTGAATGTAATGTGCTGAGCTGAAGTAGCGTTCAGGAGAGGGATGATTATGGTGCCCCAGGGGCTGGGATATCTTCAGCTGAAGAAAAGGGAGTTGGTGTCCAGTGTCCTCACCCCTCCCTCTCAGTTGGCTGGACAGATGGCTTGGGAGAGAGCCTCTGCTATTCCTTTGCTTGAGTAGATGAAGGAATGGTTCTTTAAAGTTCTGTGAATGGAAACAGAGGGAGGAAAAACCTATGCTTTAAATGTCTTCCCTTTATAACCCACAATGTCTCTCACTCAGAAAATGCCCGGAAGAAGCAGGATGGAATTGTGAGCACTTCAATTATTTATTTCACTGACCACTCTCCTCCGCTGCCTCCGAGCTCCCCGTCCATGCTCAAACTCAGGAGCATCCTGGACCTCAGTCCATTCACAGTGACAGACCAAACACCCATGGAGATAGTTGTGGATATATTCCGCAAGCTGGGACTGCGCCAGTGCCTCGTCACTCACAATGGGTGAGAACGCCACATAGAGGAATTTGGGCTGGGAATCTAATAGGGTAGCGCTGAATACAAAGCATTAAAAATTGCTTCTTGATCTCAGGGAGCCAAATTCGTCTCTCCTTTTCAACTGGTGTAAATCCAGAGTAACCCCATTGATTTAGTTGGAGTCATTCTAGTTTTACATCCATATAATAGAGAATTCAATGCATAGAAAAAGTAAAAAGCAGAGGTAGCTCACCTCTGCTTTTTACTTTGCATTAAAACAATAGACCTTGCTGGAAAAGGCAGTAAGCTGTTTGGGAGGAGTTAAAGCCATTAGGCACAGCACCATGTCAGATCACGCACCTTAGAGACAGTCTTCTTCCACTTGAGCTGTGGAGGAAGGGCAGAGGGGTGTGTGTGTGAGGACATTGGTTCTCTTCAGGACACTTTGGTGAATGCAAAATGGAATGTTTTTAGAAAAACCTGTGGAAGATGGGTGTGGGGGAAGAATTAAAATAAATTGTTGACTAATATTTGTAGTTCTGCTTGTTTAGATAAGGATACCCAAAGCAGATTGACCAGTGGTCTGATCAGAAATGTAAATTCCACACTTTGCATAGAGTCTTGGCATTCTGAGCCATGGAAACATTTGATGATAATCATGGATTAGAATTGCCATCAGAGAAGTCAGGGTCGTAGAGTCATTGTGGGAGGAAAATCAGGGAAAGGAGCTCATATGCTAACAATCTGTTAATTAACTTTTCAGGAAACTACTTGGGATCATTACCAAAAAGGATGTATTAAAGCACATTGCACAGATGGCTAATCAAGACCCAGATTCCATACTCTTCAATTAAAAACAGACTAATAAGTATTGGGTGTTTAACACAAAAACGAAACTTTATAAAAGACCGGGGATTTTCTTTTCTATTTTTATTAAGAAACTGGAGCTATCTTCAGAGTTTTCCTGTATGGAGCTGAAGATAATCATGTTTTTTCTACAAAATAACCAATTGCACTACGTAATCTGTGGAAATTAATCTTCTCTTTAGAAGAAAAGACTTTATTATAATGCTTTTGTGAAGTTGCATTGGAAAGATTCCATGAAGGAGTAAAAGCAAAATGCTACAGAATTAAATCTGTTCCCTTATTTTATTTGAACTTTGATAACTAATGTTGGGAGGGGAAGAAAAGACAATCTAGTTTTAAGTCTTCAAAAGCCATGGAAGAGAAGGATGACTTTTGCACACAGCACTAAGATGCCTGAGAAAGAGATGATCATAACTAAGGGCCACAATTCCCAGACAGCTGCTTGGTGAAAACACAAATTTGATCTTTTTTAGGTTTCTAAAAGCAATCAGCAAAATGTTAAGGGGGCTTTTTGAGTTCTGTATTTGAACCCAAGGTAAATCTACATATTCCTGCATGCAGTGTCCAGCTAAATGAGGACTTGTTTTGGAAGCTCTGCTTCTAATCAGAGTGAAGCTTCATTTTAGACTTCTCTGAATGTATTAAGTTACCCTCTGATTTGCTCGTTAAAAGTACCCAAAGGGAGAGCAGAAGGGCTCACTGGTCATATTCTTGCAACTCTCCCCTAGTTGGCTAAGACCACGGATTTCTCCTCCTCTCTAATAAGCAATGAAAGGGTTAAGACAGAGTGGTGAGTTATTGCCCAAGTTTTACTGCACTCCTTCCAAATGATCCCTGATCATGTTACAGATATTGCACAACTGACCTCTTTCTTAATCAGCAGTGTCTTATGTTGAAGGGTATGTCTATTTTATTGGAGTTTCCCAGATCCATAATGTTTACATGTATGCATATTCTGTTCCCTTTTTCCATGCCCTTTACTGTGCTAAACTCAGGATGGAATCCTGTCTCTGGGAATGAGTAACACTGCCACTTTATGCACGTTCTCCAGCTGCTGTCTGTTTTATTACCACCAACTATGCAATAAAAGACCCTTCCTGATCACTCCAGCAGGATAATTTATAACCTGGATGGTCCTTTCCAATTCTGTTTGTCCCAGATTCTAGCAAATTGAATCGGTGTCAATTAATGAGATCACTTGACCGTTTACTGACGCTTTCCAAGTACAGAAATACAACCAGAAACCAGCCTGTTCATCTTAGCACCCACTCCAGATCAATTTATAGACATGGCTAAGGATTAGCAATGGAATGCAGAGCTGCCATTCACCTCTGACTCACCGATTTGAATTCAGGGAAGTGGCCAAAATTGACTGAGCACCAAATACTTGGCCATTGCTTTTGGCAGCTCAACTATCAAGCTGCCTATGAGAAATGAGTTGTGTTCTTAGTCTAGCTCCTGATGGGCAATTATTGGGCCATTAAAACAGGCATTACATTTAGCACAAGTTGGCCATTTTGGGGGCAGTCTTGGCTAAGGACCTTGGGGACTGAAGTCCCCTCATCCTTAGACGAGGTCCATTCAGAGTAGGAGGCAACGTGGGAAGTTTACACCATCTAGGTTGCCTTTGATAAACCAGTTTTATGGATAAATCAGACTTCCATGAGCACTAAAAGTTCACTCCAGTGTAAATCAACTGATTTCTGTTTGAAGCACAGAACAAATATTTTCAAAGCCTCTCCAGCAGTGGGCGGGTGTCACCGCTGCTTCAGCATCCTAACAAACAAGACAACAGCAGCTGCTACTCAAATCATATTGAATAGGAGAAGTCAAGTCTGCCGACCAGAATGTTATCACCACATTCAGTATCTTCTGCGTGGAAAATAAAAGCCTTGACTTTGTCTTCAGCATTTCCTGTTCAGCAGGAGAGAGCTGTTTGTTCCCTCTTTTACAGGAGGAGTGGAAAATGTTTGCAATTCAGAACAGGTAGGTTTTAAATTCTGTTATCCTCAGCTCTATCAATGGGTTGCACTTGGAGTCTCGGTTTGTGCTTGAAACAGCTGTTTTGTCCTGCTTTCCAAGTGCTGTCCCTGATTCCTCAACAAACTAATGCTTTACGTGCCCAGTGTTTGTAAAGAACACCATGAAAAACTATTTTTGGCTAAATTATAATCAAGCCTGCACCAAACAAACAAATCTATCTCAGCTGGGGAACAAATGTCATGTCGTGTACCCCATGCCATATTCCTAACACAGAACTTTGTTCCCTTCTCACACTTCCATTCCAGGAAGAGACAAATGGCTTTAAGTTCACATTTCTTGTAATTTCCTTAGGTGTGGAAGACTCAAGCTCTCAAACATACACACAACCATGGTCCTAATTTAGTCTCTTTGAGAGCTGTTATCATTTGGACCTCCATATTTAGAGAGGGTTTAAAATGGCTTGTAAGAGTGCCCAGTCCTGTCAGTATGTTGTATTCAAATGGATTCACCTGTTGGGTTCCCGTGTCATGTGGGAAAAGGAACTGCTGTTCAAGCACACTGTGGGCCAGGGGGAGGAGATGGAAGGAAAAAACAGCAGCATGGAACATCGCAATGGGCTAGTCCAGTATCAGCCACGGCCTTGGCTCATGTTCCAAGAAGAATGGGCATCAGAGTCTCTTTCCCCCAACTACCATAGGCGTATACCTGTTGATTAATAAAAACTAACCAGGATAAGTTAAGGAGAGGAAAGGGATTTGCTGAAATGCTGCTCACAAAATAAAATTTATAGCACTAAAGGGCTCTTGGGCTTAACAGCAGGAAATATCTGCCTGGCATCCATACAAGAACAAGGTGTGAGCCGACAGATTGTTAGAATCTTGCAGCGTTTCATCCACCTTAGGTGAGTTTACTTTGGATTGCAGACTGCACCAGCTGGCGTCCTAGGGGAAGTTTGCTCACTGCATTACGCAGTAGATTCCTTTTGGTTCCTAAAGGCTGATGTGGTTGCCCAATGTGGGTGGTACAGCCTGCAGTGGATCCTCAGTTCTGGGACCCTGCTTGATAAGCATTCTATTGATAGAGCTGGGTGGAGGGCGGTCTATGGCATCACAAAAGGAGTGGAAAAGATCTGGTTGTGTTGGCCTTACACGAAGTTTGGTATTCCTCCCAAAATTCATGGGTCAGGGTATTTAGAGTCCCAAATTGATGGAAGGCTAAGGTGGTGGTTTATCATAATGGTACAGAGCAAATGATGTAGGAAGATGGTGGTAGGAGGGACTTAAAGACAACTTTCAAAGAAGAGGAAAAGTCTGCCCCTTTTTTTTTCCTGCTTTCTGATGTAAAAAGACCTGAAAGATTTTTTTTTCCCAATAAAGAGGGTGTGTTCGCGTTTTCTTATCAATCTCCCTGTTTTGTGGGAGGACTCTGGTGAGGGCTGGAGAACTGGTAAGAGACTAGAAATGAGTGCAGCATTAACAATTGAGAGAAGACATTTTTAGTCAAGGCTGACTTTAAAAATGTTTAATACCTCTGTCACACCCATTCCTGTCAAGCACTGGGATGAAAAGTTGTTTGTGCAAATGGCAGTCCCTGTGCCCCTTTAATGGAAGGCTGAGAGAGCTCTAGTCCTCCAAAAATCCACTACCAAAAACAGGGAAGGAGGAAAAGACTTTATATTTCTAAGGTAAAAAAATAAGCAGAAACAATTTCTTAACTTTCTTGGCCTTCCCTCATGAGGTAGCAAGAAGAAGGCAGCATGGGGAGAGGCAACATGATCTCTTTGCAGGATATCATCAAGATGAACTGTGATGACTGAAACATGGATGGTTCGTCTCCAACACAGTTGTTTTCCAGTCAGATGAGCTGCTGGCCTACAGTGGAGCAGCAAAAGGAACCTCAGTTTGTGTCAGTAACTGCCAACAGATGAGTGCCTGTAAATCATGTCTGAGCAGTTATGAATGAAAGAACAGGATCTCATGGGTAGTGATCTGTTTCTCAAAGGTTGCCTCCCTCCTCTCTTGCCAAATATGCCCCAGATATGGTCAAGGAGATAACAGATTAACATCCTAAAAGCCCCATTTATGCACCAACTTTGTCTTAAATGATGAGCTGCAGCTAAAAGGGCACTGAATAAACCATTGCCAACAAGAGAATTGAGCCATGTCTGCACAATGAAGCTGTACTCACTTAACTAAAGCCATTTCAAAATTAATTTAAGGCCATTCTTCCTGGTGAAACTTACCAGCAGAATTATACTGATATGCCAGTGTAATTGTGCTGATAAAATTCACCCTGTAGACTAACACACTATATCTGCCTGGGTGAAAACTTATTCTAGAAAGTGGCCATTGTGGGAGTTATGCCAGTTTAAATATAGTCACATAACTATACAGGTAGAGTTCTGCCAATAAATTTCTCTTGCAAAATGCAGCAGTCTTGTGTTCTGTGATTGGTGTTAAAAGGAGTAAGAAGGATGCACTAGTGGATAGGGCATTGGGGAGCTCTATTCCCATCTCAGGCAAGTCCCTTAATCTGCGTTAGGCCTCAATTCCCCAGCTGTACAATGCGGAGAACGCTTCCCTGCTTCGCAGGGCTGGTGTGTGAGGAAAACATAATACTCCATTAATGAGGATGAGGTGTCTGGATTCTATCATGATGAGCAACATTTAAAAAGGGCACCATTGGCCAATTGCGGGGTGTTCATAACCCTTGTATACATTGGTGCCCAGCCCACCACACCCATGCTGCCTACTCAAGAGGAGGTGGTTGCCCTACTTCTGTACATATCCTGGATCCAGTCTGGCAAGAGGTGCTCATGTCAGGTCTATCAGTGTGGGACTTGTATAAGTGGAAACTGTAAATAGGGGCCATGGTGTTAATTTATTCTTAATATTCATTCTCAATACTCAGGATAAAGACAAATGAAATGTCCCTTGAATGTCATTCTCTAGCATGGGGGCTATAGCCTAGTTTGGTAACATGGGTACTATGACTTTATAGGCCGCTTCCTACTCCAGTTTTGCACTTTTTAGATCTGTGCTCTTCAGGACAGGATATTATCATCATCTGTGTCTGTCCACCTTACTTTGAGCACTACCCCAATAGAAATCCTATATACTGCCCTGGATTTGTCTGAATGAAATATTGTAGCATGATGAAAATAATCGCTGCTTTCCTACCCAAGTCCCTCGTCTTGGAATTCTGTAGGGCTGTGCTCAAAACCTAAGGCAGGAAACTGACCAAGCTGCAGTGCTGAGGGAAGGCTGAGTTGTAGAATGCTGCTTTGAGGCTGTGGAGCTCTGGTTTGTAAAGTTTAGGGGAAAGATCAGCAACTGTTTTTTTTTCTTGCCTTTGGAAGAGCTCACCCTGGAGGCCTCAGGTTTGTGGCATCTTGAAGACACTCCCCTAGTACAGTAGCAGGTTTGGTGATTTTTTTTAGGTGGTAAGTAATAAGGATTGTGTGGATTTTGTTCCAGAAAAGGCTAGAATGTGCTCTCATTGGGGATTTTTGCAGACTAGATTAAATCAAACTGGAAAGAGAGAGGGTAGATGAAAGGAGCAGCACGGAGGAAACCAAGTCTTCAGTGGTGTTGTCTGTCGTCCTGCTTGTACCGGTGGAGGGAACATGCAGGGCCTGTGCTGCAATGAGCAAGTGACTGGAACTGAGTCTTGCTTTATATTAGGTTGCAGCATCTCTCCCCCATGGAACTGGAAGGGGAAACACTGGCCAATTAGTTGGGATGTTGATCGCCTTTCTGAGTGGAGGTGCTAGGCTGGATTTAACCTGCTCCCGTGTTTTCTCCTATCTGCACTACTTTTTTATTGCTCCCTCTGGGACAGGAAATATTTGGAAAGCCAGCAGCAGCAGCCCACGTGAAGTATGATGCTGGCCACCAGATGGCAGTGCAGCCTGTGAAATGGGTAAGCCATAGGCATAGAAATGAGACGAAGAAGGAAGGGATGTTGTTTATAGGGGGGAGATTGAGACTCACAGGAGGGACCAGATAAAAAGGGCAATTTGCACTTCGAACTTCTGCAGTACTGTGAAAGCACTGAATCAACTGCAATCCATTCCTGCATCTGAAAAAGCCAGTGAACATCTAAATTAACAGGGGCAGAGAGCTCGCTGCCCCAATACTGGG